CCCCCGACTCCCACCCCCACCCCCTGGCCATGTCTTCTGACCTACCACCCCCACTCTTAGAAGGCAGAAAACCCATCCATATTTTCCATCATTCTAAGTGGGCTTTAAAATCTGCTTGTGTGAGTTGCTCCTGTCTGCTGTGACAACCCACAAGAGACTCAGTGGCTTAAAACTCAGACTTCCCAGCCAGGCACACGCCTTTAATCCCAGCACTCAGGAGGCAGAGCAGGCTGATCTCGGAGTTCCGGGCCAGCCTGGTCTACATGGTGATTGCCAGGACAGCCAGGGCTACACGGAGAAACCCCCTCTCTCGAAAAACCAGTCATAGTAATAATACTAATACTAATAATATATAATCAAACTTCCAACTGGTAAGACTGAATCAGCAAATGTAATGCAGCCTTCCTAAGGAAGAGTGTTCTGACCCTGGTGTGACCCTCCATCAGAGATCAGAGTTTGTAGACATCATAGCAGGCAAGTTAAGCCAGGCGTAAGAGGACCAGCTTAGGATGCTCCGGAAGAGGCCAGTTTCACAGAGACAAAAGGGAAAGCGCCAGGCGCCAGGAGGAAGAAGGGAATTTGCTGCTTAAATGGGAGTAGAGTTCAAACCATGATGAAAAGACTTGCTATTCTATTTCGTTTTCTTTTCTTTTTAAGGATTAATTTACTTTTACTTTATGTGTGTATATATAAGTGTGTGTTTATTGCATGTGAAGGCCGGAAGGGGGCGTCGGATCCTCTGGTCCAGAATTGGAGCTACAGACCTTTGTGAGTATCCACCCATGTTGGTACTGGAACTAAACCCAGGTCCTATGCAAGAGCAGCAGCAAATGTTCAGAACCACTAAGCGTCTCTCCAACTGCTCTTTTGTCTTTAAAGATAGGTAATAACGAGGTGTTTTCCCAGGCTGGTCTCAGACTCTTGATCCACCTGCCTCAGCTTCTTAAGATTATAGGTGGGAACCACCTCACCTAGGAAGATGCAAAGGCTTCTGGGAAACCATTGCAGAACAATGGGAGTGTGTTTGAGATCACCAAACTACACACTCAATTAAGAATTCGGTGGGGCCAGTGAGAAGGCTGAGCGAGTAGAGGCACTTGCAGCCGAACTGACAGCCTCAGCTCCGTCCCAGAGATCTATGTGGTGGGAGAGAAAACGGGCTCCCCAGAGCTATTCTCTAATCCCCATGGTGTGTACTTGCCCCCCAAATAAACAATATATGTGAAAAAGTCCAATGAGTATGGTGGTGATGTGTATATTTTCCACAATTAAAACCAAAATTTGGCCGGGCGGTGGTGGCGCACGCCTTTAATCCCAGCACTCGGGAGGCAGAGGCAGGCAGATCTCTGTGAGTTCGAGGCCAGTCTGGTCTCCAGAGCGAGTGCCAGGATAGGCTCCAAAGCTACACAGAGAAACCCTGTCTCGAAAAAACCAAAAAAAAAATTTTTTTTTTGAAGTGGGGCTGGAGAGTTGGCTCCATGTCTAAGAGCATTTGCAGAGGATTGGAGTTTGGTTCACGATATATGGCTCACAATCACCTTAACTCAAGCCCCAGGAGATACACATGCATGCGTGCGCACATATAGATAGAAAAAAAGAACTGAGTGTTTTAAGTTAAACAAAACCAAGAAGAACAGCCTGCACTTACGACCAGGTTCCATACGGAAAAGGTGAGCTGAAGCTGGGGTGGGGCCATCCCAGGGCTCCTCCACCTCAGAGGCTGAGGCTCCGATCTGCCCGGCTCCCAGGCTCTCATCTATCGCTTTCCTCTGAGGTTCTGTATTTATTGGGAAGCCGCCATGACCAGCATCCACACCCTGGCTCACAGCTCGGCGTTCTTGTGACACACAGAGTAACACATTCGCGGTGCTCAGGAGAGGAACACCTGGATGCCACTGCTCAGATTCCACGCACCTGCCACCATGTGGCCCACAGAACACAAGCAGGCACTGTGCTTGTCCCTGGGTGCCCTCGAAGCCCGTCTCACACCACGCTGCCTCCTGTCAGACAGCTCTGATCCCTTTCTGCTTCTCAGTCACTGAATTTATGACAAGTGCTTCAGTGACGTTTCTCAGTGTGCAGAGGAGGAAGCCAGGAATTAGAGCATCACGGGGAAAATGTTTTGATCTCTGCACCTGATGAACACAGGGCTCCTTTGTCCTGGGTGCCCTCGATGGCACTGGGGTGGATGAGGAGGCTCTGAGAGGCTCTATCGGGGTCTCTGTGTGACAATGGTTATG